ACAGTGATTTTAATTATGTATGTATGTATGTTTTTAATTAAATTTATATATTAAGAATGATAAGACCTTTCAATTAAGATATTACTTAACCTTTTTTTTATTTAGTTTTTTCAAAATGGCGTCCAGCTGTCTTTTTGACATTTAACATAAAAGAAATATGTCAAAAGATAGTCGCTTTGGTATTATATGTGTAATATTTGCAATATTTTAACGCGATATACAACATGGGTTTAAAAAATAAAAGAGGGGCCTCATTATTTACTTGTACAGTGTGTTTTACAGTTTATGACAAAATGCGCAAATATGCGCAAAAAAACTTTTTACAGCCTATAAGGTAGATAATTATGTAAGGGGGAAAATAAAATCGATTTAAAACTACGTAAAATCGTGAAAAATAAATGCGAAAGTACATTCTCCATTACTTTGCATAATTCTTTATCCAAAACCAAATAAGAAGTACATATTTTTACTTAAATATTAAATACATACCTCCAGAATTATCATTCATGGTAAAAAACACTTTTCCAAAATTACAGGATACTAAAAACCGTAATAACAATTTAACAAATTATGTTTAATGTTTATTAACACAATGGTATTCCAAGTGACAGTTTGTTTTGAAATTGTTGTCAAGTAACAAGACGACAATTTTTCAACTTTTTTCATAGCCAACTTGTTTTTTGGCGTTTTGCCTGTACATTTGAAACATTTCTGACAGAGTAATTTGAAACTAGTTTTTATTACTTTTTGCCACATTTCGCCGAAAATCGACCAGCGCAGCGTGCGGCGCTAAGATAATATCTAATTCTATCAGAAAACTAACGTACAGAAAGAAAATTAATATAATTAAAATTAAGAAAGAGAAAAAAAAATAAGAAATCAAATTTAAATTAGGATTTAATTTAAAGAATAGAATGAAAATTATTATTTACTAAACTGATAATCCAGAGATGTATGTTAATATTTAGAAAACTTATTTTTTTCAATTTAAGAACTTGATAAGAATCAAAGACTATTAAAATAAAGATTACCAAGAAGTACTGAGATTCACACACGAAGCCGAACACGTCAAACTAGTTAAAAAGACAAGTGAACTGATTTAGAAAATTAATTTTCTAACGCTTGTTCCATCCAGGGTAAGTGGGGTGAGTTTGTAGGCTCCACCCATGGGTTTAGTTTCTCGCATCACCATCAGGCACCCTTTTACCGGTACCCTCTTATTGGCCGAGGAGATTCCAACCCCCTAGGGTTTCAGACTTAACTCACACCATATAACCTAGATGGCACTAGTAATGTTAACTGCAGCAATTAAATTCAGTTATCATAAATATCTGCGTAAATCTCATTATTTCCTGAATTTAGCCTATTATTGTTTAACCCTATTCTTAACTAACACAAATTGAGGATTACTCTTAAAAAAACCTACCAAATCTCAATTCAAGTTTATATTCATTATATTTCAGTGTAATTTTATATATTTATTTATTTCTCATAATTTTGGACCTGTATAGGACAAAAAAAGAGTGCAAACCTTCGGGATAACGTTACGTGAACCTTTTACTTTAGTTATTTAACTTATTTATATCAAAATACGTTTGATTCGACCAGAGTGGGTTGGTCGTCGATTTTTCGAACATGTGGCATGGGACAGGGATATTAAAAAATAGCTGGTCTCAAGCGTTACATAGAGGTTTCTCTAAGGGTCTGTTTATTTAGTCAGATTAGAGATTACTTTTACAACTTTGTTTTTACGACTATTTTAAAGATTTCTTGGTTCCCAGCCATTCTATAAGGCAATTCGTTGATTTTATGATTGTGATATTTAAGTCTAGTGTTGTCAAACCTTACATCATTCGTGGTAGTAGATACTCTACCTCTTGATGAAGGTGTCCTATAAGCTTGTAATAACGAATTTGCAAAGTACCTACGAAAAACAATAAACTTGGACAATTTTTATCTTTGGTTGGAGTTTCTTCATGAGTAGTACTTTTCGAGGAGTTTCTTCATGATGCATTAGGATACTGAAACATCAACTAGATGTGCGAAAATTGCAGTACCATTTGCGTTGCCTAATTCGTCACGAATAAATATAGTCATTAGTTTTAAGTATTATACAATTGTGTTTTCTTTCTCTGTACATGCCTGGCGCCCAATATCTATATATCTTTTGTTTATTATTATTGATTAATTTTCTCTCTAGTGAAATACCTTATCCACGACTGCTCTCCGATGAAAAGCTGCCGTTCGCAGTAGTAGTTGTTTTAAAAAACGCTACACCATTTAACCAATAGAACTGATTCGCTAGCAATAAAGTTATAAGCCCCTTGTAACGGGAACTTGGTGTCAAAACTTGACAGCTCACTAATAATAAGGTTCCGTTACAAATAGTTTCCAGCTAGCTCAAAAAAAAGCTAAAGTTTAAAACAAATTGTCAAAATCTATCATAAAATGTAGCAAATATTTAAATAAGGAATAATTAAATATATATACCAGTAAAAGTATTCTTGTAAAAGTGAACTATCCGTAATATAAATTAAACCATGAATAGTATCACAAAATATTGTTGTGACTAAACCGTGAACAACGCTGATGCGTAATTGTGATTATTAATAGATAACTATATAGAATAAAATGAAGAAAAGAACCCTAAAATATGATATATTTTAGTGACACGTTCTGGTTTGGACATAATAAAATACCTTTCCACCATGTGAACCTTCCAAAACAAGATGGCGTCTCAACGCATGTTACTCCATAGAAAAGGGTTCATTAACTGTCCTCGTACTCATCCCAGTACGTCCACACATCCATTTACAGCTCCTGTCCTCTAAAATAAACAGTTGTAGAAGAGAACCTTACACCTAGGAATGTCTCTTATCCAACCAACAAAGATATCTCTTTTCAAGGTTTCCCGGAATTCCAACCACACAGGCCAAGCTCAATTTCTTGCCAATCGGTCTTCTCGACCCTCAACGAAATCCAAGACGGTAATTGTACTGATAATCCCAATCCGGAACTGCGACAAGCCAAAATTTCACTAGAATTTTCCTTAAGTCGCAGAGATCAAAAGGCTTCCTTGCTTTCACCAGGACGGTTCAAAATCGAAAGAAAAAGGATGCGTGCTTGCAAAATCTGCAGAAGATGCTGGACTTCAAGTTACCAACACTAAATTTAAGACTGGCAACCAGTAAAACAAAAGATCCAAAATAAAATTTGATACAAAATTTATTTAATGCATACTAATTGAATGAAACATTTTATTCCATCATAATAAAATTATAATAATCAATAGATGGACATAATATCTTCGGAAAATTATCAATATATTTTCGATCATATAAAAACCGATTAAAAAGATCGAAAACCAAATATACAAAGATCGATCTGTCAACTTTCAACGCCGGTGTCACACGATCAGCTGACAAACAATTGAAACGTCAGTCTGTAAATCGTAATATAAACAAAGATGAAATTTGGGGAAAAATCATCTATAATCAGGTAAAACCAATTGATTACACACAGGAAAATACATAATAAAATCCTTAACCCATGTGTATATTGTAGACCCGACATTCCCACTTGTTGCGTTGAAAACAGACGAATATAACCACTTCAAGTCTATGATTAAGAATCCTCCGAAGAAATATGCCAAGAAAATATCCTAACTCAAGCATAAATCTAAATAAAGAATTAGTAACCACTGCAGAAAGAAAGGTAGGTTTTAAACAGACAAATTGGTATTATATTAATGATGTTTTATATTAAGTTATCGAAGACAACTTCATCCAAAGAAATTGTTTTGATAATGAAACTTATAGATAAGATATTATTAGAAATTATATGTACAGTTAAGAAGTAAGTTAATTAGACGTTATTATAAAAGTTATTCAAGTAAGTGTTAGTTTTATTCCTAAAAATAAGCAGAAGAAGAAATGAAATTTCTTTAAAAACAGCGAGTTACTACTAACTCAATGAAAAATATATACATCCTAAAATCTAACCTGGATCTGGTTTCAAATCTTTTACGTGCCAATTCCTAATCGATACAGCATGGTCAGCATTAAAACATGACTCTTGATCTAGCCACGGCATGGCAAACGACCGACCAATGAAATGTTGTAAGAGTCCCAATTTATTTTTCTTTGGTTCAGTGAAAAATAAATAGCCTTACTGGCGTACAGTAGGAAATTTAAATCTCTTGGGCGCCACCTCTGTTATTTATAGTGGAAGAGGACCACGTTTCGCCAATACGGGTAGCTTTTATACAGTGGAGATACCAGGGAGTGTTGAAATGAAAAGAAATAAAACACACAGTCAACTATAACATAACATTAAGGCTTTATTTAATTAATTAACTATATGCTAAATACTCCAGGAAGTTTCACGACTTTAAATTGTAATGAAAGTGAAAGAAAATTTATAATTAAAGACTCGTAAAATAAAATTTACAACAACAATCGAGCACCTCTAGAGTTTTGACCTTATAATCTCGATATGCAACTCACTGTCCGACTCAATCACGTGAATCCAAAACGCGTTTTCGACATGACGTTCTAGTAAATAAAACGACGCGAGTTTCTAACCGGCGTCTAACTTAACGGCGTCCTAGCAAACACAGACATGTACGTACCGGAGCGATATACTCTTTTATAACCCGACTTTCTAAACATCGGCGACGTCGTTACAGGCGTCCCGGGATACACAAACGCGAGTTTCTGGATCGATCGCAAAAATTTTCGGCGTCCTGTGGGATAAACACACACACGAGTCCCGGATTGATCGCGAATCTAACCGCGTCCTGTGGGATAAACACACACGCGTCCTGGATCGATTGTAAAAGAAACGGCGTCCTGTAGGATAAATGCACACGTGAGCCCTGGATCGTTCGCAGTAGAACGAGACGGCGTCCTGTGGGATAGATACGCACGCGAGCCCTGGATCGTTCGCAGTAGAACGAAACGGCGTCTCGGTGAGTCGTCTGGATAAGCACAATCCACCGCCCGGTCAGGACCACCTCGGGATGTCGGCGAGATCCCACGGCGCTCCTGATGAGAAAACGGGAACTACAGAACCAGCCTCGGGATTTGGACGAGATCCTGTCTTAGCTCCAAGAATATTCGCGCCCGTGTATTTGTTGTACTACCTTAACCGCTATCTGTCTCCCTTTTAACCAAAAGAAATCGGTCTTCGCGTCCACGGGATCCGGACAAAATGCCTCAACCTTGCACGTATTTTTACTTCTATAGTAGGACAGTAGACACCTGGAGCGAATTTAACTATCTCTATCTCCCTTATTCTATAACGCGTTAAGGCAGTAAAACAAACCGTATTAACAATAAAAAAAAAACGACCTACTCTCGATCACTTTGGCGGCTGGACTGTATAGGACAAAAAAAGAGTGCAAACCTTCGGGATAACGTTACGTGAACCTTTTTACTTTAGTTATTTAACTTATTTATATCAAAATACGTTTGATTCGACCAGAGTGGGTTGGTCGTCGATTTTTCGAACATGTGGCATGGGACAGGGATATTAAAAATAGCTGGTCTCGCGTTACATAGAGGTTTCTCTAAGGGTCTGTTTATTTAGTCAGATTAGAGATTACTTTTTACAACTTTGTTTTTATGACTATTTTAAAGATTTCTTGGTTCCCAGCCATTCTATAAGGCAATTCGTTGATTTTATGATTGTGATATTTAAGTCTAGTGTTGTCAAACCTTACATCATTCGTGGTAGTAGATACTCTACCTCTTGATGAAGGTGTCCCATAAGCTTGTAATAACGAATTTGCAAAGTACCTACGAAAAAACAATAAACTTGGACAATTTTTATCTTTTGGTTGGAGTTTCTTCATGAGTAGTACTTTTCGAGGAGTTTCTTCATGATGCATTAGATACTGAAACATCAACTAGATCTGCGAAAATTGGCCAGTACCATTTGCGTTGCCTAATTTTTGTTCTATATACAGCCACTAGACTGTCCATTTTATCAATTCCTCCCATTCCAATATTATAATTCGCTATTGTTTCTGGTTGATCAATTTGTTTTTTAGTTTTGGTGATTCTGCACCATCGGGAAGTTTTAACAATACTGTTACACAAACGCGAGTTTCTGGATCGATCGCAAAAATTTTCGGCGTCCTGTGGGATAAACACACACACGAGTCCCGGATTGATCGCGAATCTAACCGCGTCCTGTGGGATAAACACACACGCGTCCTGGATCGATTGTAAAAGAAACGGCGTCCTGTAGGATAAATGCACACGTGAGCCCTGGATCGTTCGCAGTAGAACGAGACGGCGTCCTGTGGGATAGATACGCACGCGAGCCCTGGATCGTTCGCAGTAGAACGAAACGGCGTCTCGGTGAGTCGTCTGGATAAGCACAATCCACACCGCCCGGTCAGGACCACCTCGGGATATCGGCGAGATCCCACGGCGCTCCTGATGAGAAAACGGGAACTACAGAACCAGCCTCGGGATTTGGACGAGATCCTGTCTTAGCTCCAAGAATATTCGCGCCCGTGTATTTGTTGTACTACCTTAACCGCTATCTGTCTCCCTTTAACCAAAAGAAATCGGTCTTCGCGTCCACGGGATCCGGACAAATGCCTCAACCTTGCACGTATTTTTACTTCTATAGTAGGACAGTAGACACCTTGAGCGGATACAAGTCTGGTTAAATTTTACGTACGCGCGTTTCGGACCAAGATGCCTCTACCTTGCACGTATTTTTACTTCTATAGTAGGACAGTAGACACCTGGAGCGAATTTAACTATCTCTATCTCCCTTATTCTATAACGCGTTAAGGCAGTAAAACAAACCGTATTAACAATAAAAAGAAAACGACCTACTCTCGATCACTTTGGCGGCTGGACTTACCTTCTACAGAGCGGCAACGGCGGCTGGCAGCAGGGTACTTGGCAGGGCACTCCGGACTCGAACTTCACTGTTCACGTGCGACCACACAACTAACTACCTGGCGCTCTCGCTGCCAGGGTATACTCAAACGACCCTCCCCTCCACTCGACCGGTACTGGTAGGGCCAGCTTCTCGGCTGCCGTACCGAACTATAGCGAGTAACGCCGATCAAAACTCTATTACAATATGGTCATCAAATATCTAACATACTTAAGTCAACAGTAAGAACACTAATGAAGTTCATTACCATAATGAGTTAACAATAAAATACATTGCCTAACCTTGTTTACAGAAAAGGTCCCTATTATTTAAGTACAGTATACGGGGTGTCCCAGAAATGAGTCCCAAAATTTATGAACTTCATTACACTCCCCCTACTTCGGTTAAAAATATATGAACATATATTTTTGTCAGCTATGCTGAAATGAAACTTCCTGTTAAAACAGTTTTTGTTTGACCAAAACTTAAGCTAACGCCCAGTATATCTCTTAAAGTCTAATAAAAACAACAACAAATTCGAATGTTTATTGGGCCAAACTTAATCTAATAAAACAACGATAAATTCGAATATTTACTGAGCAAACTTAATCTAACCTTGATATATCTGAGATCTGGTATCACTTTGATTATGCTTACATCTAAAAGAAAACAACCATAGACTCAAATGTTTATTTGTCCAGTCTTAATCTAAACTTTTGTATCGTAATCATGATTAAGTTACTAAAATAAAACGACCGCAAAATCAAAATGTTTATTTTCAAAAGGCAAAACTTAACTAAAATACGCAATATCTTCGGTCTTCTTCAGCTCGAAGATCTTTCTTCGGCGGTGTGTAGAGCTTCGACGTGTCGAGCTTGCTCCAACGGTGTTGCGGCTTCGGTGAGTCCCTCGTTGTCCAGCGGCGTTGAAGGCTTCGGTGAGTCCCTCGTGGTCCAGCGGCGTTGTAGGCTTCGGTGAGTCCCTCGTGGTCCAGCGGAGTAGAGAACTTCGGTGAGTCCCTCATGGTCCAACGACGTAGATCTGTCCTGCAAATGGCTCAGTCATGGAGACCCATACACCTATAACACAAATTAATTAGTTCAACTCTTCTGGCACGTAGGACGATTGGTCGCAATGTATTTTCATATATTTTTTTATTTAAAAAAAAAAAACGACCAGATGAGAGATACTACTACAAAAAAAACCCTTAAACCAAGAAGAAAAAAAAAAGAAAAAAAACTTTGTTACCCTCTTTCTGTTCCCCTTTTTAATACTTAATTTCTAACTTTTTTAAAAAAAAAAAAACTAACCAGGACCAAACCCCGTAGACATAACATAGATACTTAAAATCGCGCAATATTCCTCTTTTCTCTCCCTTAGTATTAAAAAAACAAAAGAAATTATATTTCCCTTTTTGTTTGTTGTTTTTTTTTCTCTCTATCCCTTAATAATTTACACCCTTATACAAAAAAAAAATTGGCCCCCTTTTTCTCCTTGCTACCTTGCAAACTTCCCCCCTATTTTCGGTGGCATAATGGGCATTCCCCGGCCTTTTTGCGGTCAGCGATCCTACGCTGCCTTCGCTGTCTTCGGCTGTCACTCCGGGGAGCCGGTTGGGCCCGGAAACGGCGGCATGGACAATCCCTAGATAGGACGCCTCGAGTCCCACATCCTGAGCAAAATATTATCACTGGCCTTTGGCATTGACGGCGATTATGTCCTACGGCCCCACATCGCCAACACACTGCCTCCAGTTCTACAGGAACGCGATCATCCTCGTGACGTGGATAAAAGGCCTGAAGACGTTCTCTGGCCGTCGTTTCTTCTTCAAAATATACAGCCAGTCGTGGATCGTCTCGGAGAGGTATCATCGCTTGCTGTTCGGACGTTGCTCGGGGTGGTCGGTGAATAGTCGGCCTGGCGGTGCCTGCGGTGACTTGGTAGGAATTTATCTGACGTTGTGTGGCCTCTAGCCGTGTGGGAAAATTGTCTATGCTCCTCGCAGTAGACCTAGGCAATGCGGGCAGTTGATACCGTCGGCCTCGAATGGACGAAGTCGTTGGGCGGGATGGATATCCTGCCGGGACTGTCCTGGTGTTTTCAGTGAATGTGTCGGGTGGTCTCTGATATGAGACGCGTTCCGGCGCTCGTGTTACTGGTGTAGACAAGTTGTAGTCCTGTAAGGCCTGGTCAAGATCATCCATCAGATTGTCCTCCAACGCGGAGACAAAAGTGTCTGGAGACGACATTTGGCGGCGGGGAAGAGTCGGCGACAATTAATCCTGAAAGAAAACCATATTAACTCGCTTTCCTGACAAGAATATTATAAACTACGAATAGAATAGGGAAATGGGAAGGACTACTATAAGCAAAAAAAAAAAATTAAAAAAAAATGCGGGATTCCTCTCCGGACCTAATATACCCAGCTAAAATAAAATAGAATAGAAAATAAAATATATCTTCTAGAGAAATTAGAAAAAAACAAAATTAAATCCAGAGCTCCTTCCAGACGGGATTTCTAACGATTCCCTATGATCCCAGGTTACCCGTTATGTACGTTTCCTACTTTTACGGATCCTGCGGGATTGTCACCCAAATCCGGCGTCCCGTAGTGGTTCGTATCCGAATTCGTGTTTTCACATTTCCGGGGACGCCGGGTGGTCTCAAGGAACGCACTTGTTCCAAGAGGGTTGCGTCCCATAACCCGATTGTAGAGGCAACTTTATCCGCTATCTCCCCTCTAGTGATAGACGGTGTCTGCAATGTCGGCGGCGGCGGGGAGGGAGTGGGAAGATAGGGGCCAGGCGGTCGAACTTGGATGTTCGAAAGTATAATAATTTTTGGCCCTGCCGTCGCAGGGTTCTCGGGCCTGGTGGGCGCTTTGTTAAACGCCTCCACCAGGCTCCGGATTTTCTCTTTTCGGGCCTCCTCTTTCTCCTTTCTCTTCCTGGCCTCCTCCGTCATTTGATATAACGGGCCCGCGGGTCGGGCTTCTTTGGGAATTTTCCCTGACAACTTGCGAGGCATATCTGGAATGTAGATAGAAACTTTTATTTATATTTACGCGAGTTTTATTTAGTGAGCGGGTTTTAAATCTTTAATATGGACGCGCCGTATCTTTTGATTATTTTTATCGGTCAAGTCATAGACTACCGGAGAGATCTTACGCGTAACGGTATACGGCCCGGAATATTTCGGTGCTAATTTGGCTGCGAAACCTTTCACGGCGGAAGATAGGGGATGTTCCCTTTTCATCACTTGATCACCAAGACCACATTGCCATTCTCTTCGTCTTAAATTATAATAATGGCTCTGTGACGCGAAGGCGCGAGATAGATTTAAACGGACCAATTCGAAGGTTTCTTTTAAACGGTTTAAGCGGGTTCCGGTACTTGTTATGTCTGTGTTAGTCGGTTCGAGATTTTCGGACGGAACAGACGGCTGTTCTTCGCGCAAAAGCGTTTTCGGTGGCTCGAGTTCTCTTCCAAAATTAAGGAAAGCCGGAGTGAATCCAGTCGAGTCGTTACGGGACGTATTGAAAGCAAACGTCAGTTCAGAAAGGCAAGCATCCCATTTCTTATGATCGTCTTCGCAAAACTGTGCGATCATAGTCTTGATGGTCTTGTTTGCTCGTTCGACGGGGTTCGCTTGAGGTGTGTAAGGCGGTGTAAGTCGGTGATTAACCCCGAAATCCTTCAACAGTTGTCGGAATGGTCTACCGGTGTATTGAGTGCCGTTGTCAGTTATGACTGTGACAGGTCTTCCAAAACGCATCAGAATCTCGTCATATAAGGCCTGACTGACAGCCTTGGCAGTCGCAGTTCTAATGGCCTTACATACTATCCATTTGGTAAATCTATCCTGAAACACCAGAACGTAGCAGTTCCCTTTTTTCGACCTAGGCAATGGTCCTACCAAGTCAGAACTCACAGTCTCCCACGGGCCTTGGACAGGTGATGGTTGCATCTTCCCAGGCGTCTGCTGTTGCGAAACTTTATACTGTTGGCAAGACTGACATTTCCGGACGTATTGGGCAATGTCTCTAAACATACCTGGCCAGTAATAACGAGCAGCAGTCCGTGTAGTAGTCTTGGCTATCCCTAAGTGTCCAGCGGTGGGTTGATCATGATCTTCTTGGAGGACTTGGAGCCGTGCAGGTTTTGGAACACATAGTTTCCAGGGGTCTTGCATCTCGGCTTCTTTTGCGTCAGTCATGTCCAAAAAATGACGAAACAACTTTCCATCCCGAATGCAGAAATCAGGAAATAATTCCGGATGTCCCTGTACGTCGGTTCGTTTCTTTTCGTACCAAGAACAAATGTCTGTTTCAGATATTGCCAGTAATGGCTCCTCAGTCGGCGGTGGGTCGGTCGGGCTTCGGGATAAAGCATCTGCTATCTTGTTCAGTATCCCTTTTCTATAACGGATTTCGAAATCATACTGTTGAAGATAAATACTCCAGCGGGCTAATCTGCCGCTAGGATTCTTCAGAGAGTGTAGCCATCGGAGTGATTGATGATCGGTAATGACTACAAATTTATAGCCTTCCAAGTAGGGTCTCATCTTTTCAATTCCTCATACTATGGCTAGACATTCCTTCTCTGTGACAGTATATTTCTTCTCGGCGGTGGTCAGACTACGGCTGGCATAGGCAATAACATGATCGCCATCATGTAAATGTTGAATTAGAGCCGCTCCCAAACCATTATCGCTTGCATCAGTCTGCAAGACAAAAGGCTTCTGGAAATCTGGACATGTCAGAACTGGCGCTCTAGTCAAGCATTCTTTGAGTGTATCAAAGGCTTTACGTTGCTCTTCGTGCCACTGCCACTTATTATTCTTTCTCAACAGATCATTGAGAGGCTTAGCGATCTGGGAAAATCCTGGAACAAATCGGCGGTACCAAGAAGCTATACCTAAAAATCGTCGAAGACTTCGAACATTGGTTGGTGTGGCCAACTCTAAAATAGACGTTACCTTGTCTGGATCTGTTCTTATTCCTTCAGGTGTCACCCAGTGTCCCAAATATTTGAGAGATTTTCGTCCGAACTGACACTTCTCAGGATTAAGCTTCAGGTTTGCGTTCTTCAAACGTCGAAAAACCTCTTCCAGGTGCATCAGATGTTGCTCAAACGTCTCACCTAACACAATTATGTCGTCCAAGTAAGCAAAACAATAGGGATCCAGTTCAGGTCCTATGATTCGATCCATCAATCTCTGAAAAGTGGCAGGCGCTGAATGTAACCCAAACGGCATCACTCTAAACTGGAACAACCCTCTAGTGGGTATGGTGAATGCGGTTATGGGCCCACTCTCTCGGGTTAGCGGTACCTGCCAATATCCTTGTTTGAGGTCAATGCTGGATATGTACTTGGCTTTGCGAAGTTTGTCCAAAATCGCGTTTATAAACGGCAGCGGGTAAGCGTCCTTTCGAGTTACTGCATTAACCTTCTGGAAATCCACGCAGAAACGGTAACTACCGTCTTTCTTCTTAACCATGACGATCGGTGAGCTCCACGGACTATCAGATGGCTCAATAATTCCATCTTCAAGCATCTTATCTATTTCGGTATCGATGATAGCCTGCATCTTCGGATTTTGTGGTCGGTGTCTTTGTTTAATCGGTTCCTTGTTAATCAAGTGAATTTCATGGTTTACCAGTGGGGTTGTACCATGAATATTCTCAATACCAGGTAAGTGTTGTTCCAGGAAAATCTGGAGTTTATCCTGTTCGTCCTGCGTCAAATTTGGAGTCTCCGTGCTCGCTGAAATGGGACATAAAGTCGTAGCAACCTCTTCAGTCACTCTTCGACCATTTAAGCTGACTTGACGGGTCTGTAAATCCAAATTAAAATGGTGTCGCTGCAGAATATCCATTCCAATCACCACTTCGGGTACAAGACTAGAATATGGAACACTTCGTTCAAGGACTGGTTTCCTATCTGAAATTTTATTCTAAAGGCTTCTGAAATGGCTTCATTAGTTCCATTAGCAAGCGTCGCTCCTTTTAGAGTAGGCTTGACTGATATGGCCTTAGAATTTCGGCAAGCTTGGGCCAATTTGGTTCCTATGAAAGAATATGCCGCCCCCGTATCCAGGAGGGCTAAGTATTCGACATTTTTGTGTCGTATCTTGATCGTAGGACGGTTGTCGGTTCGGATAACAGGCTGGATATCATCAATAAGGGCGGTCGGGAGGCGCTGCACTGGCTTGAGTGTGCAGCGCCGCTCTAGTTTTCCGGACGACCACACGGACAGTCTCTGGACAGTACGCCTTTCGTCTTACATCTCGAGCAAAAGAGCTGTGCTTTCTGTGTGCAGTTATTGCGATAATGTCCTGTTTGTCCGCATCTCCAACAGATTGCTTCTGAAGTCTGTTTCGTGGCCTGTGAATGTCCCGGATTCCGGGTCGGAGTGGGCCTGTGATTTGGTCCATTTTGCGGCGGTGGTGGGTTCTGATTAACCCTCGTACGGCTTTCAGTGCCTGTATACTCATTGTCTGATATGACTCGCCGAGGACGGGTTTCAACAGGACCAGCTTCAAGTGTTGTACTACTCCGATTCGGTCGCTGAAGTTCCTGACTAAGTAATTCGAACTCCTTCGTTATTTTTGA